GTTGCTGTTTCTTTGTGAGCAGAGGAGTTCCTGCCTTGGAGCTGCCACATGCAATGTGTTTGTACAGAGCCCAGGAGCAAGGAAGCTCCAATGCAATGTTAAATAAAACTGATCTTAGCAGCAACCTGTAGTATTCCTAAAAAGTCAGGGAATCTGCACGGGTCCATGGGTGCTGCCACAGTCTGATGGATCATGTGGCCTGACCCTGCTCCCAGGAAAGCCAAGAACAAACTGTAATTGGGTTTACAAGGACCATGGCTACATTGAAAAAAAATGCTATCCAGGGAAATTTTGAAGATTTAAAAATGTTCAATTAAAAAAGGAATAAATCTCGATCTACCACTTAAGGGAAACAGTGATAAATTTCAAAGGATTAAGAGAACTGAGGCTTCACCAGGGCAGGATTATTTTGAGGGGGGGTTGATGGTTTGGAGGTAGTTCCTTCCTTCAGCAGGATTTTGTTTCAGCAAAAAGGCCAACATGGTTCTTTTCCTAGCTCTGTCTCCTCCTTTCAATTTTACCCTGCTTATCCCAACAAAAATCTATTTTAAAATGGAACTTCCCCACAGAATTTTTCTTCCCATTGAGGAGCCATCATTTTCCAAAAAGACATTGCCAGGAAAGTCCCATTTGAATGGAATAATCAAGACCTCCATGAAATGAACTCTCTTTTTTTCTGGTTGATGCCATGGGGAACAGAACTCTTGGTTTTGCTGGTAAATCCTGCTTACAAAATTGTGGTGACACCACTGCAGGCAGCTCCATCCCAGCATGTCTGATTCTCCTGGAAGGCTCTCTCAGCTTCTAATATTTGTTGCTAAGAAGAAATGGAAGTTGAAGAGCAAGCTAAATTCTCTAAAGTAGAATTTTGGGCCACTGATTCACACAATTGTCCTTGACCACGTAACAGCCATATTGGCTAAGAGTGGAACGTGATCAGAGCAGCTCCTGCTGCTTCAGAGGGATGAGAAAATAAAACCCAGAGAAGGAAAAAAATCTTCTATTTTGGTATACTTAACACATACAGTTATCTACATGTCCTATATATCATTTAACAAATTGCTTTGCAATTCTTACAGGGCGTGGTATAATGACTGATTTAAAATCACTGCATTGCTTAAACTGCATTGTTCTTCATCAAGTTGAGTCATTTTTATGTGAAGTGTCAAGCTCTCTAACAAATAACTGCTGCCAGACAAATCAAGTTCCTCATCTTAAAGCTACGGCTAAATAGTTTATAGCTTTAATCTGCTCACTGAGGTGTGCAGTCTATGACAGTAATTATAAATGCAAGGAGAAATTATAGCTGAATGCTTTAACTGCATTAGGAGCCATTTGATGAACAATCATGATTGCCTGCTCATTTTCAACAATAGAGGGCAAGTTAGTGTCAGTGCATTAGAGGATTTTCAGTTCTGCTCTGCTCTTTCTTCCATTTACCACAGAATGTCAGTTGTCTCCTATGAAGTAGAAAAAAAAGCGCAGTAGAAGCTTTAAACTTGATGGTTAAAAAAAGACAAAGGAGGAAACAGAGAGAAAAACTGTTTATCATTACGACTCTATTTTTTTGTTGTTTTGCAGCAGCCTTACTTTCAAATTAGTTCATCTCAGGTAGGTGCCTGTTCGTTTATTGGGGTCTCTTAAAACAGAAATCTCCTCAGTCAGGTTGGTTAATTCGAATTTATGGAGATTTATTTCTATCAAAAGTTGTAGCCAAGGCCACAGAGAGCCTCAGTTGGTGACCAGCTCCAAGCCAATCTCACCTGGCTCTAAAGTGAGAAATAAAATTCTGCCCTGTCTTTTTTCTCAGAACAACATAAAAATTTTAATTCAGTCGAAGAAATGAACGAATGTTCTTCAAGGTACAAGTCAACATACAAATTACTTCTAATTAAAGCCATGTTTCCTAATGTTCATGGGTTTTCTATGAAGAATAGCAATAAAAACAAATTTGAAGTGGGTTAAATGAAAGAGAATAGAGATGTCTGATTGTTGTATATTACACATAATCTTACTTTATGTTACTAAACCCATATCACTTAGAAGAGTACAGGAAAACACCAAAGATGACTATAAAAGAAATATATATATCTTTTTACATTTAAGAAGAATTTATAGCAAATTTCTTATAAACAGCCTCACAGAGGTCTTAAAAATAAATCCATACCCATAACACATTTTTCTACAGTACTAACCCAGATTATTCATTTATATTTTTAATGATAGCTAACATTTGACAATATAACCTCTACTAGTAAATGCCATTGAAATATAAAGTACCTTATGTATTTCTATACTGCAAGTACTCTTTCCACTGTTTTATTTCCATTTATTTCAATCTATATTCTCTATTTTATGCCTATTTCACTGCAATATTGCCTGCAAGAAGGAAACACAAATGCATGTGTGTGTTTTAAGGATTTCAGCTTTATATTTCTCCTTTCTAAATACTCTGCTCCCCTCTGTTATTATTCAAATGTATACTGGATCTTAAAAATAACATGGTAAGAGTAAGTAAACTCTGAAAATCCCTGTTATTTGATTTAGTCTCCTTGCAGATTTCTCAAGAATCCATATGAATAAACTCTGGCTCCCCACTCCCAACCTCGTCAGAACTTCAGGGAGGCTTTTGGCTCCGAAACTGTAATAAAATCTTTACAATGCCATCCCAAATACCCCATCATTTCAGACAATTTGTGCTATCATGCATACCAACTGAAATTATAGCTCCAGATAACAGTGCTATCACTCTGTCATTGCAATTTAAATATATTTTTTCAAAGGTAAGATACAACCTGCATCTTGATATAAATTAGAAATGGATGAGTATTACGAGGACAGCAATTTCTCGGGATCCAGAGGCAGGAAGGACAGTCCCTTATTTATGTAGTTGCACATCACCTGAATAATATGTCTCTGTGCAGGTTATTACAATGCAGAAACCACTTTTTATTTTTTTCCTTGGAGATTTTTTTTTTCCTCCCCTTTTGTATTTGTTCCTCCAATCCTCAGCAACAGTAACGTGTTTACAAAGGTGGGTGTTTGGTTTGCCTCTGAGTAATAACACGGTGCTTTTAAGACCAAATCTGAAACATTTGTCACACATTAAGCCATGAATGTGCCAAAATAACTGTTGTATTAATATATCTGGCAGATAGCTTTTGTTTGATAGTCCCCAAATTATTGGTTTGCTCTGTTATCTCTTGTGTGAAAACTGTGAATGGCAGAGTCTTAATAATCATTAACTGGTGGGGAAGGAAACAGAGTATAGGATGTTTATCCCTATCCAGTCTCTCAGGGGTGTTGATTTGGAGTGGCCAGGTAAACCAGCAACATTCTAATGTTGGGTTTAAGTGCCCAAACAGATATTTTGGGGTATTAGCCCTGTTTAGAAAATAAACTCCTTTGGAGTGAGGTGGAATTTTGCTGGCTAAGATATGCAGGAAGTGTAAATCTCCTCCAGTGCAGACAGCACGTACAAGATGTATGCAAAACTGAAATCTTACTGCACTTGAACGCTGACATTATACTCCATGGCAATAGCTTCCAGTGCCAGCCCAAAGTAACCCCTTGATCAGTGGTTTAAATTATTCAAAAGTAGCATTTTTAATGGAGCTCAAGTGACACAGAGCCCTCGTGCTGGCTTTGGCCACAGAAAATGTTTCCTAAACCGTGAATATTTGCAGCAAACAAATGGGAAATTTTCCCCCAAACGGGGATTGAGCCCCATCCCCTCAATCAGCCAGAGGGTGGCCACAAAGCCAGGTGGCAGCAGTGACAACTCACAGCACATCTTTAATTTTGACCATCTGACAAATTCATTTTCTGAGTGTTATTCAAGTAATGAACACCTTGGAGAAAACCTGGATCTGCACATGATTGTTCAAGCAGAGCCTGAGTCTGCTGGAGGAATTGCTGGGAACAACTAAACAGAACTCTCCTGGAAAAAAAGAACTGGTTAGAACAAAAAACTTCTATTTGGACTTTTAGTTGATGTTCTGCATATTTATTTCAATCAAGAATATTCAAGTTTGTGAATCAAGTAAAATTAAAAATGCAAAAATGGTGTGGCATCTGAATATTACATTACATGTTATAAACATTGGTTGTGGCAACTGGTGTATCTTGCAGCAAAAAAAAAAAAAAAATAGCAACACTAACGCAGCAGTATCCTACTAACAGGTCTTGGAAATATTAAGCTTGTAAAAAATCTCAATTAAGCATTATCTCCCCCAGGTTATATGAGAACTTGCACTGAAGTCAGTGATGTTTATGGATTGACTTCCACCAACGTGAAGCAAAATATAATCAAACATCTTAAAGATTAAAGAAGGAATGATGGAGAGAGAGGTTAAAATGATGTGACAAAAAAGGCCACTCACAGTAGCAAGTGTTTAAGTAAGTGTAAAATATTAAAATATTTTACAAAACTGAACATCCAAATATCAACAGAAGAATAACTGAACTTCTAGACAGGAACTTTTCAGAGTTATTTGTAGATTCTCGAGGCTCTGTTTGAGGTTATGAGAAACTTGGAATAATTGAGATTTTGCTAATTTGACTTTTGAATTTTTTCCTTCTTCCCCATCCAAATCAGATTTATTGGTGTGCCAGCACTGAATGAGGTAATAACCTTTTGGATTTCAGTGCTCTTTATCTGCTTTTTTCCACTTTCACTGCAAAGAGTGGCACTTAGTTCTTGCATTCCACATAGAAGTGCAGTGGATGTGAAATGATTTATTCTTAGGAACAAAAGAGAAATGGGCAAACGGCTATTTTGCAAATAATAGGCAGCACCATTTCTCTCTAGGGCAGTGTGGGTTTGCATTGAGCGAGCTCTGCTCCTGAAAACGTTATAAAATGGATGTGTACATGCGAGGGAGGGGCGGCGCAGCACACGCGATGCATTTTATACTGTTCCCCTACTTTTACCAAAGCACGGAGCCTGACGGAGCCTCCTGCAAATGCTGAAATGAAAACTCACTATAGAGCATGCATACCTTAAGAGTTATTCTTCATCCACTTCTGCTACAAATTGTGAATGGTGTTCTGGTGACTTGCTGTGTGTTTTGCTTAGATGAAGTTTTACTGCATGTTTGCTCGCAAATGTCCGACAGCACAACTTACATTTGAACTTAGAGTCTGTGTCCTCTTCTCCAGCTATTGTTTCAGGAGATCTTTGAACTGAAACTCTGGAGATTTCTTGCTCTACCTTGGTTTGCTGCTCCACAGCCAGCCTGTTCATGTCTTTCATTTGGAAACCTAGGTGGGATTCTAAGTGGCTAATGTAAGTAGAGGGGGTTCGGAACTGAGATGCACAGTCGCTGCAATAAAAGACTGGATGTCCTTTGTCCATGTTTTTCAAAAACTTTGTTCCTCCGGTTTTCCTAAGTTGATACTTGACATTTGCCAACCAGTGGCTGATGGTGGTCATTGACAGTCCAGTGAATTTGGAAATCTGCATGCGCTCTTGTGGGCCTAGATCTGATAATAAATATTTACCTTCAGATGTCTGGAAGAGGCTGGAAGCAAACTGAGCTTGCAAAATGAGCAGATGCTGAGGGTTCCAGTTTGACTGCCTGCCCTTCCTTTTATGCAGAGTGGAGACCTCCGTGGAGACGTCCTCGAAGCGTCGGACATCGATTTCCAACTTCATGGATGGGATCCTTGAGGATGCAGCAGGTTTTGGTGTGGTAGCTTTGGGAAGAACTTTGACCATGTCGGCGATGTCAGACAGAGCGTGCTTTTGAGGTGGAGAAGTACAAGATTGTGCTTGAGCTGACTCAGCTTTCTTGCCTTTGGATTTGGTCAGGTCAATAGGCTGATCATTGTTTTCAAACAAATAGTGCCTGGATACGCTTGCAGGCTTTGGTGGGGTTGGAGCAGGAGATAAAACCGGCTTCTCCATCATATTTAGGTTGGGTTTGTGGAATATGGAAATTGTGCTAGAGCTGGGGCTGCAGTTGGATTGAGGCTGTAAGGGCTCGGTGGCTTTGCCCAGGTGGTTGTTCAGGACTGACTGCAGCGCGCTCAGGGGATTCACACAGGGCAGCTCCGAGGAATGGCTGGCAGCAGCAGCACAACCATTACTGAGAGAAGCTGCTGGTGCCTCCTTGAGGACTGGCTTTTCTTTTCCACTGTCCTCTTTAATTTTGTCTTCTTCTTTCAGGGGACACGGTTCTATCTTTTTTGGCTCTGCAGAAGCTTCAGCTTTGAGGAGAGGTTCCCTCTCACTCTGGCTGAGCGAGGCTGGCTCAGCCTGGACACCCTCCTTAGCATAGTCCTTCTGTACCTCCTCCTTGTCCTCAGCCTCCTTCTTCACTTGAGTGCACTGGCTGACGTTTGCTGAGATAGGGACCAGAGGCATCACCTTCCACTTGGGCGCTATGGGCCTCAATTTATTGGTCATGGTTGGCCGGATTTGGAGCACCTGGGATCCCACAGGCAGGGACGGCTTGGCTCCCTCGGAGAGCTGGTAAGCTGCGTGGATGCTGGGGTATGCACTCCAGCTGGGAGCTCCATTCTGAGCTTTATTGATGGCTGTCGTGACAGTGTTCTCCAAGGATTTCAAAATGTCCCCACCGCCCTTTGAACCATCTTCTAAATCTTCTTCTCGGAGATACTGGTATTTCATTGTGGGATCCAGGGGTTTCTGAAGAGTGTCTTCGTACTCCTCAGTTTTCATTGCTTTCTCATCTTTGTTTGCATCATCAGCTTTATCTTTTTTACTTTCTTTTTTAAGTTCAGAGGCAGGACCAATGCATTCTGCAGATGATTTACTGGTTGATTTTGAAACGGGGCTGTCACTGGCTGGTGCCTCAGACAGCGATTGCATTTTTTCCACGGCTAAAGGATCCAGAACAAGTTGCTTTCCTTTCTTTGAAGCTGAACTCGTGACTTTCAAGAAATGGCCAGTGACCATCATGTGGGTCGTGAGCTGCTGCAAGGTATCATGGGAGCTTCCACATTCCATGCACTTCAAAATCTGGGATTTGCAGGCCTCGAACTGCCAGGTGTAGCTGGCCCCGTTCTGGTACCCGTAGCGGTTGTTGGAGGAGAGCTGCAGGTTCGTGTTCTTCTGAGGAGAGAAGGTGTCAGAGAAAGACCCCGTCGTGGAGTCAGGGGAGCAAGGCCTGTTCACATCAAACACACGTTTCTTGGCTGGAGTGACCATTTTTGAAGAAATGGTTGGTACCGGCTCCTTCAAAGGCACTTTTTGGTAATGTTTTGTTTTTATCATATGAACACTCAGATCTTGAAGGGAATCAAAAGAGTCACCACAGAACATACACTTCAGAACTTTTTGTGCATCTTCCTTGTCCATGTCCTGGAACGCCCTTTTCCGGGGCTTGGAGTAGCTGGTAGGTCTGTGCTTGTCCTTTTTGTGGTTGTCATCCTGGTAGTGCCCTGTCTCGTTCATGTGCACCGTGAGTTCCACCAGGGTGTCGTAGGCAGCGCTGCACTGCCGGCAGCGGAACCGGCTGGCGCCCGTGAACACAGTCCCGCACATTTTGCTGCTCTGCCTGTAGAGCTGCACCGAGCTGAACAGGTTGGGCTTGGAGACAGGCCTGGAAGGTAAATTCTGCTGCAAGCTTTTGGACAGTGCATCTTGGTGCCAATCGAAATCAGCTTTGTTCCCTCCGTTCCTGTTGTCGCAACTCCTCTTTTCGGAGTTGGACAACTTGAAACCCAGCCCCAAGCCTGTCCAGTAAGAGTCCGACAGGATGTTGGCATAGACTGCTGTCATTTTATCCATGCAGTCTTGTGCTTCGCTCTGGGCTTTGGGGTGGGAGCTGCTTTTGGGGTCCTGGGGCTCCCTGGAGCAGATGTTTTTGATATCTGCCACATGGTCACTACTGTCACTCAGCAGTGATTCGTTCTCTGCGTCCTGGTTGGAAATGTGACTGACAGGGGAGTTCTGGAAACTGAAGTTCCCTTTCTGCTCAGGACCCACTTCGTGCTCCTCATCCGTGCCGGTGTCGTTGCTGCCCTGCAGCTGGGCAGTGGAGTTGTTGTCATCGTCATCTTCTTCCTCCTCCTTTATATCTTCCTCTTCCTTTAAATCTTCCTCTTGGACATAACCTGAAATGTAATGTCAATATATGAAATAACTTGTTAAAGGAGGATGCTACAGTTCCAGTTTTCTACTTTCACTAGGTATTTTCTTTACTGGATTTTGTTTTAATCTATAACTATATTGTCTGTTAGTTCTGGAAGTGGGAAAAAGCCAAATGATGTCTCTTTTTTTGTGAAGGTTTCTGCATTTTGTTGGCAGATGATCATAATTCTTTATAACTGCCAGAGATCCCGAGTTAATAATTTTCCTGTCATGGGAGTATAATTCTAACTGTCCTGTAATGGGACAGTTGGAAAATTCATATGTAAGAATTTAAAGTTTATACTAAAAGCTTCAATTCTATGAAATTGTTTTTAGCCTCAGTGAGAGAAAGGGTTGAATTTGCAAGGAAGAGAAGAAAAATAAATGCCATAATCTTCCTGGTTCAGAGCATCATCTAGGTACAGTAACCTTTTGCCACTTGATCACCTAAAAATGCACTTTAGAATGTACACAATTTATATGACAAAATACAACATCTGAAAGTATTAATAGGCATAAGTGAAACCTTTTTGTTTATAAAAGTAATGTACTGTGTACCATAAAAGCAATTTGTGCCTCAGTAAAATCCATAAATTTCAGACCAAGAACTCTTGGAAATTATAGAAGATTTGACAGAGGTAGAAGTTAATTGGAAAAGTAGAAAAAATACAGAAGGATTTTATTTGGCAAATCAACTCTTTGATTAATAAGATGAATGGGAAGAGCATATTTACTTAGAATCCAATTCCTTCCCATTATCTGAAATTTGTTTTATGGCTCTTTAAGAACCTGGCTCATTTTTCTCCCTTGAGTTTGGTACTCCTGACCCAAAGATATCCTTTAACAAATCCAGAGGAGACTGTTCCACCTTGTTATGCCCATCTGGACAAAGCCTTCATTTTCCAATCTGTTTGCATGTTCTGGCCCCTTCCCACACGTTGCCATCAAGTCAAAGACAAGAACCAGAATCAGAGGAATCATTCCCTGGATGAAGGTGCAGCACAAGAAGAGGGAAATTATGGCTCTGTGTGATGGGAACTAAGAAATCCATATGTCATCTTTCCCACACCCTTGCCTTGAGTTTAGGAACTGTGCAGGTCACACAGGCTTAAAGCTGGGCTTGGCTTAGAGCTGGGCTTGACTTAGAGCTGGGCTTGACTTAGAGCTGGGCTTGGCTTCCTCCAGGGGTGGTATGAGAAGGTGTCACAACCAGAGGCAAAGACACAGCAGTGGCTCTGAACAAATGACCTGCACATCACTTCAGCCTGATAAAATAATAATAATCACACAGTAGGAGGAACACTGCTCTTCAGCAGATGCTTTCAGCAAAGAGGCTAAATATGAAATGTTAAGTGCTAAATGCTAAAAACCAATCCCTTTAGCATGAGCAGGGTCACAGCAAACACGAACAGGTGATCAGACTGGAGCAGCAGCAAGGACAACGCTTAGACCTCTGTAGTTTCTTCTCCTCCCTAAACTTTCCCCTAATAACCAGATCTCACTTTCCCTCTCTTGTGTTTTTTGGGGGAGCAAGGAGAAGGCAGGGATGTGGAGGTGGCAGAAGGTCCCCAGGGGAGGAGCAGTGACCCTGTGACACAGTGTGACATGTACCAGTGCCAGGCACACCACACAACACAAACAAGGAGGGGATCCAAGGAAGGAATCAGACAAAACACACGACAAAGAACATTCCTATGGCTTTGGGGCACTGCAAATTGGATTCTCCATTCCAGCACCAATTCTCTGGGTGTCATTAAGCCACTTTTTGTGGCTTAAAGGAGTTGAGTTTTCCTTTGGAAGGTACATACAGTAGTTTATTCCTGACAGAATCCTTTGTCCTTCTCTAGGAAAAGCAGAAGTACCAGACAGCTGCACATCCCCCACAATATGGATAAAATTTGCTGCTTAATTAGGCATTGACATGTTTACTATAACCTTTACAGAAGAGTAACTTGTGCTGAGGAATCTTCTTTATTTTTGGTGTCTGTGTAAGATACTGACACAATCTCATGTAAGGGGGAGAAGTAACCAGCTCCAGTATCTCCAGAGGGTCTATAGGGAAGCCAGACAGGGATTGTCCATCAGGAACTGTAGTGACAGACAAGGAGGAATGGCTTCAAACTGACAGAGACGAGGTTTAGGTTGGATATGTGGAAGAAATTCTTCCCTGTGAAGGAGGTGAGGCCCTGGCACAGGGTGCCTCATCCCTGGCAGTGTCCAAGGCCAGGTTGGACAGGGCTTGGAGCAGCCTGGGACAGTGGAAGCTGTCCCTGCCCATGGCAGGGTGGCACTGGATTCTGTGATTCTGTGATTCTGTGATTCTAACCTGCAGAAAGCACCATCAAAATTTCACAAAACCATCAGTCTCGTCTGTTTTAATGGTTTAGGGGTTTGGGCAGCTTTAAAAACACATTTCAGTATCTTCCCTGTAAAAGCATTTCTGTTTATGTAAATGATTTAAATTGCTGTGGGCATTTTAAGGACAGTGGAGACCAGCTCTACGAGACAACCTTACTACAAGAGATGCTCATGTTCTTCCAACAGGGCTTTTTAGCAAGATTTCATTGGACATGAAGGGATGTAGCTGGTTAACAGAAATAACATTAATTTAAGTGGACTTTGCATTATTTATTTTAGAAGTAAAGAGTGTCTTATATCTGTACACCCACATGCTTTAAATGCAGAGTCTGTAATAAGTAGCATAAATTTTGCACGTCACACTGATGTCCATGTAATAAATTGTTGAATGACCTGTTCTCTTCCCACCAGTTCTCCCCCAGGCTTATCCTGACATTCCAAACCTCTGAGATCCTCATGTGTAACTGTGTTACAGGGAAGAAAATAATATGAAAGAAATCCAAACTCAATAAGTGGATGAATGCTTCCTCCCTTTCTTAGATGAGAATTTTTCCCACCAAAATTAAACAGGCCCAGGCAGATGTAAGATGGGAAAAGTGCAGTCTTGAAGAAGTGAGAGACTGAAATGTCACTATCATTAAGAATTGACAAAATTCAGGAGCTTCAAAGCATTGAATGGAAGCAATTTTTGGCTTCCTAAATGGAAATGCAGTCTTTGGTTTAGTGCTGATTGATCTCAAGATAGGGTATGTAAAAATCATGACATCAGTAAGGATAATATTATTATATGGATAATAATCACAAATATAATTCCAAATTCTTTGGTTTCTTAATTCCCATCTGTGTCTTTGTGATTGGATTCATGGCAACCTCAGAACCTGCTTCTCTAGGATGAGAGCTGCAATAAACAGCTGGTTCTTTATTCTTCAGAGACAACATTTTCTTAGCTATTTCTGGAATATTTCCACAGAGGAGCTAAAAAAAACCAGGTCCAGTTAATATACCTGCAAAAATTGGGTCTAAACCCACCCCCATGCCCTTGGAGCTGGGACCTTTCCCTGCAGACAGCACCAAGCCAGGCTCCCAGGGGATGAATCCAGCTCTGACATCCAGGACTAACCTGGGAGTGGCACCACATTATCCATCACTCCTGACCTGAATTGTGGAGTGTCAGAAGTGTTCATGCTGACTGTTAACTTTTCCAGCAGCAGATCCTATTTTCACTCAAATTTGCTCTTTTTCCATTTAGAGAAACATTTATTAAAATGCATATATATATATATATATATATGTGTGTTTCTTTCCCAGACTGGAAAATTTATTTCCTGCCAAGAGAAGGGACAGTGAATCATTGTCCAGAACAACTCTGCTAATCCATGTAAAACCCATGGCACCACCTGCCCTTCTTCAGCCATACATATCCCAGTTTTCCTTGAAACAACATCATCAGGAAAGCAATTTCACAGTGCTAGAAGGTGATCTTGTTTCCTCCTTGTCTGGCTTCAGCTCAAACATCTTTTTGTGTTTGGCAGAAGCTGTTTGTTTCTCTGAAAGGTTCCAAGCAGATAATGGATAATGACCACTTCTCATTCCTCCTTCTCCAAGATGTCCAACTGCATTAAGCACCCACAGACAAATCTTAACCTGGCTCTTTGTAGGAGTTCAAAGCTACAGTTTCATCCCAGTCTGAAAATCAGCTGAAGAGAGAAATTGGCAGCTGGGGGAAAAATAGCTCCCTACTCTATTGCATAACTCTTTATCAAAGACATTTTGGAATTTAAAGGGATTAAAACCAATAGAACACTCTGGAAAAGCAATGGAATTCCATGGAAAGAACTCTCCAAGTATGAAATTTGTCATAAAGGAGTGAATTGTAGAATTTCAGAGTTTTTAAGGCTATGTTCAAAATTTCTGTACCACGCAAATAACTTCCTGTTAAGTTCTCCAGGGTGGAAAGAAAACTCAGGGAAAGGTTCCTGAACCTGCACAGAGAGCACCTGGCTGTGAATGATGGATGGAAGGGACAAAGGGACATCTCTGTCACCTGCCCTGGAAACCCTGGTGTTTTTATTTCCAAAGCCAGGTGCAGCCTGAGGAAGGCTTTGGATGTCCTCAGAAAAGGCTGAGGATGCTCAGTTGCCTCTTTGCTGGGAGGCCAATTTATTCATTTGGATAATGGGGCATTTTTTGCAGCTTTTGCTGCTGTTACTATTTACCATCACACCCACACTCAGTTTGCAGTGCCTCGGTGTGGATCACCACCATGGTGATGAATTTTGTGTCCAAAACAACTTGGCATCTCAAAGGAGGGATTTTTCCTAATATTCCTTTGAGAATTTTTTTTTTTCCCCTCAAAAAAATTTATTTTTCAACTAGTTACAGCAGCTGATACCAAGGCATGAATTCCTGGCTCTTGCAGAGTAGGAGAAGGAACACCCACCACCATCCACTGCAGGAGGACAGGAGCAGCTTCTGCAGGAGCAAGGAGAAGAGTGGCTTCCACACTGACTGAATTCTAACACACAAAGGCAATTCCATGAAGCCATAACTATTATTTATATACGATGTTGAAATGAAGCAATTTGGGGCTTTCATTTTGTTGTACTTTAATTAGAGTTGTATTATA